TCTCAAAAGGCAGCCCTGGAGGAAACCAAAAGGGACTCTTGGGACTGGAACCCAAGTCCTGTGGAGACCTAGGCAACCACTCCCCTCAATAATAACTCATCCCTTTCTTGCCAAACAAGTCTTATGACCTGTATCAAAACTGGGCTTTTTAAGGTGAAATAATCTGATTGCTACATTGTTGTTTTGGTTTTGGGCACTAGGGATTGATCCCAGTGCCTAAATCACTAAGCCACATCCCCAGACCTTTTTTTTTTTTCCCTTATTTAATTTGCTGATTTTTTTTTAATTTTTAGTTGTAGATGGACACAATACCTTATTTATTTTTATGTGGTGCCAGAGATCAAACCCAGTGTCTCATGCATGCTAGACAAGTGCTTTACACTGAGCCATAACTCCAGCCCAGAACTTTTTATTCTGATATAGGATCTCCCTAAGTTGCTTAGGGCTCACTAAACTGTTAAGGCTGGCCTCAAATGTGTGGGTCCCCGACTCACAAATCCTACTCTAGTATTGTACCATAACTTAGCTGAAACTTCTAAAACTATTATTTAATGCATCTCTGGGTTCCACGTTCTTCACAAGTGGGTTGAACTAACTGATTTTTCCATCTCTTGTGAATTAGGCAGCCACTTTTCATCTCCCCAAGATCTGAAAAAAATTATGGGGGAAACTGTAAAACCTCCCCCAGCTCTCCCATGCAGGCTAGTCACTTGCTCCTCTGGGCTTCTAACAGCCATGTATGTGTATGCATATATATGTGTGTGTATAGATATATGTATACCTACATATAACATATACGTATGCATAACACGTGTGTCTATACACACACACACACACACACACACACAAATACTTCCATTAAGCATTTATGATTAAGTTGATTTTTTATTGTTGTTGTTGGTGGTGGTGGTTTTTGTTGTTGTTTATTTTGGGTTTTCTTTTGTTTGGTTTTCTTCACTTTGCTTTGGTACCAGGGATTGAAGCCAGGGACACTTTACTACTGAGCCACATACCCAGCCATTTTTATTTTATAATTTGAGACAGGATCTCACTAAGTTGCTTAGGGGCTCACTAAATTGCTGAGGCTGGCTTTGAATTTGCAATCCTCCTGCCTCTGCCTCCCAAATTACTGGGATTACAGACTTGTACCACCATGCCTGGATATCACAAAGCTTTGAGAGATGTAAAGCTTAGTGGCTGAGGTAGAGGTAAGGTGAAGAACTACCTGGAGTCTAACTCTGGTTCTTTTTACTATCTGCATAACCTTGGGCAAGTTATTAACCTATGATTTAATTTCCTCACCTACAAAATAAGGATAATAATATCTATTCCACAGGATGGTTGTAGGAATTAAGCAAAATAAAATGTTTATAATTGTGTCTGCCACATAAATAATAATAATAATAATAATAATAATAATATTGATGTTACTGTATTAACTTTCCTATTAGACACTGGGTTTCAGTTTTAACTAAATCTCTGTTCCCTTCTCATTCCCCTGAGCACCCTGTTTATGTTTTCTTCTGTGTCGCTCACCACAATAATATATTTATTTTTGTGTTTATTTTCCATCTCCCCAACAAGACTAACTTCCACAAAGTAGGGAAGATGACTGTATTGTTCATTCTTAAATCCCCATAGAAAACATACACAGTAACTGGTCCTGGACAGGCACTCAAATACCTGTTGAATAAACAGCACATGAGCTGGCATTGTTCAGTGTTTGCTGAATCAATTAACCTAGCTAAAGGTGATTGTCAAAGCTGAGGCCTGGAAGCAGATGATGTCCTGGTTGCCTCAGGATTAGTGTGTCCCTCTACCCAACCCCCAGTATTATCTTCAGCCAAGCCCCACCCACCTGCTCTTGGCCTCAGCCCAGTTCCGGGAGCCACCCTCAGCTAAAATTAGCATAGCTACCAAGATGGCCAGGCCATTTATAGCCTTGGAGGCAGCAGCAACTAGCTGGGTGGGCAGGCAGGGCTCTGGTCTGCCACACTATTAGGGATTGATTGAGAAGCCAACCACCACTCTTTATGTTGTTTAAGATGCCTATCCTCCAAGGCCCTATTTTAGCTATATACAACCAAATCACAATTCTTGATTAGAGACCCTCAATACTTCCAACATTGGCAGCCCCAACTACAGACTACCTTGTACATACTCTACAGAAAACATTTTTTGAGTTTCTGAAGCCTAAGCAAAGTTCCATTATCCATCAGGCCAACTTCAGAAATGCAGGCCCTGTAGCAACACAGCCAGGCACAGACCTTTACTGAGAAAGTAACTTAACACAGCTATTAAAAAGTCAGAAAGTGTCAGAAAAGACCTCTACACTGCTCATTAAGAAAGCCTCCTATCAGAGCATCTGCCTTCACTGCAGGGTCAGGCATTTAATAATACTTAGTGTATGCATTGGAAAGACAAAGCATTTTTAACTAAATCCTTCTTAGAATCAAATCTTACACCTAACTAAGAGACAGGTACTTTTATCCAAAACTGAATTTTCTGAGTACCTGCAACACACTCTCCAAAGATCTAAGCTATGAAGTCACCAGGGCCTGCCTAATTGCCAAAGAACAAGTCCCACCTAGCACTTCTTAATCAGGACAGGACCTGAGAAGATGGAAAAAGTCCAGTACTTAAGCATCAGAAGACTGCCTACAACACCAAGCACAGGACCCAGTTTCTTCACCGATGCAAATAAGGATGTATTATCCTACCCTTGATTCCAAAAGGGATACTATGAGACTTTATAGGAAAAATATCTGTGTAACTATAAAATACAAACTGAAGAGAACACAAATTTACTAGGAATGTTGAATCTGACTTAGAAAAGTGGTAGCTTTAAGAGCAAGTAAAACTCCTCCTGGGGCTGGGGTTGTGGCTCAGTGGTAGAGCGCTTGCCTAGCACATGTGAGGCACTGGGTTAGATTCTCAGCACCACATACAAATAAATAAAATAAAGGTATGAATAAAATAAAGGTCCATCAACAACTTTAAATAAATAAATAAATAGATAGATAGATAGATAAATAAATACTCCTCCTGTGTTGTGAGGATACACAGGGGTTGGAAAGGTTCCTAGTTGCAAGAAAATTTCTCCCCAAACCCTTTTGCAGAACCCAATCTATGAACCACCTCTTCTCTGTCTGAGTCAGAGACAAAGTCCCAGAAAGACCTAATGGGACAACCTACTAGAAAAATGGGACATCCAGGTTCCCACAAACCAGTCATTCACAGCACCTAGGATGTCTCTGAGACATTCCTCCCTAGAATTCATTACTATTGTGGCAAGAGAAACCAATTTCTGAACTGAGAAAGAAAAGGACAAAATCAATAAGAAAAGACCAAAAATGAGGACTCAATATAGGCCTCTTTAATATGTTATACGGAGGGCTGGCTCCATAAGTTTAAGTCATGGAGTGATCCTGAGGGATGCTGGAATGCCTCTTACCTTGGGGTAGGAGAGGAGATTCTTGAGAGCTAGCTAATGCCTAAAACTCAAAACATTCCTTTTAGGGGCTGGGGGGCTGGGAATGTAGATCAGTGGTACAGTACTTGCCTGGCATGCATGAGGCCCTGGGTTTGATCCCCTACCCCACCAAAAAAAAAAAAAAAAAAAGAATCTAAAAAATAGAATCCTCTCAAAAATATTCATTTCATGGTTAGAGTTTCATATATTGAAGTGGGAAAAATGGGACATATTAATTATAAACAGGGATATCATTGGGATCAGCAGAGGTGTTCCTCAGATGTCTTTCATAGCACAGTAAGAACCAAGCTTAGGGCTAGTCTTCAGGAGTCAAGGAAATTTCCTATAGAGAGACAGAATTAATTTGAAAGAAGAACCTACCCCCTATCTTTAAAAAGTAACAGCTAAGAGTGCCATGCTTGCATACAAGACAACACAGGCCTTATTGAGAAATCAGCCCTTGGGGAATCTGGAATCACAGAGCCCAGTCAAGTAACTTAAGGGTGGGGTGGGGGTGCCCAAGAAAAGGCCTACCACTAATGCCAGGTTCTGGATCCATCCATGAAAGTTTCCAACCACTGTATTTCTTTTCCTACTTGCATCAGCAGGTACTGAGCCGCCATCCCTTCACTTGAGTTTGCTAGACTCAAAATAATTCAGTATAACAACCCCCTGAGGGGGACCCTGCCTTCAGGTCACAGATCAGAGCGACTAGGCAAGAGAAATGAGAAAAGGCAACCGATCTTCAAAGTTTTATGTAAAATAAGTGGATTTAAAAAGTGTTCCCTTTATTGCAAGAGTATACCAGGACTCCTGCTATGTGACAAGTTCAACAAGTGCACAGGAAAAATCAGGACAGATAAAAAATAACATGGAATATCTATACTCATCAGTCAGAAGAAACAAAGTAAGTTAACAAGTAATATTAATATTAGAAATAATATTATGCTAATGTCCAAATAAAGGCCATTTTACTCCCTAGTGGTAAATAAGATCCCATCTAAGGATTTGCCTTGATATGTCAATTGGGCCCAGCTAAGAGACAGATTACTTAAAGGAAGGGAGGGACTAGGGTTCCCATGGTGGTTGGAACAGAAAGACAAACCTGAACACCAGGCTATCCAACAACAAGCTGGCCCAGCCTTGATTTTCCCTGCTCAGCCTGAGTGGTCTCAACCCCCCTCTACTATCAAGTGCTGAAACTGGCTAAAAGCAGCTCAGTAGGTCATCCTTCCACACAAGTAGTCTTAAGATGGAGCCTGATCTGAAAGGTCAAAGTGCCCCAAAGTCTTTTTCTCCTTGCAACAAAAGACATCCTGAGGAGGGATGAGGAAAGTTATTCAAGGAGATAGTAACATTAGCCATGACCCCTTAACAGAAAGAACTTCTTGGACGACAGAAACTAGACAATAATGTGTGGATTCTCCACCAACCTCACAGGTACAAACCTACATTGACTTACCCACTTTGGGCTACTCAGTTCTAAGTTAAAGCCCACAGCACAGTCCAGCCCGCAGCAAGGCCTTACCTGCTGCAGTGGACTCCTCAGAAGTGGCCCCTGAGCCGGTTCCTGTGGCCTTCTCGCTATGACTATGACTGAGGCTCTGGCCCTGATGCAGGAGAAGCCCCCAGAGGAGCCACAGGGCAAGACGAGCGCAAACATCCATGACTCTAGGTCTCAATCCACATGCGCCTTAAGTGGACACCTTGCAATCCCAGAAGCGAAGCCCAGAGTCCGGGAGTGCAGCCGACGGTCCCCAGGCAAGATGCCCTCCCAGCGCCGCAGCTGTCCAGCCACCTGCGGGCCTGCCTCCTCCGACAGTCAAAGGTCAAGTGCTCCAAGTTTGGGCGCGGGAGGAGGACCGGGCCTCTGGTCCAACAGTRGGTCCGCCGGAGCTGCAGCGGCCTGAGCTCGGGCGGCTTCCGGAGAGTTTGGGAAGGGTGGCTGCGGGGCTGCCGTCAGCTCCGCAGCCTGCTACACCCTAGAGAAAGGGGGCGGGCAGGATCTCCCGCGGGTACCGAGGTGGGGGAGGGAAAGAAGAGAACGGGGACACCTGACCTCGCCCCGCGAAGGAGCGGCGAGCAGAAGCTCGGGGAGGGCGTGCGACTCGCAGGCCCCAGCGGGTAGCGGCGTCTCCGGGATCCAAAGCCTCCTAGGCCGAGGTCAGCGCCTCCGCCCAGTCCCGTGCCCAGGCAGCCGGCGGTGCCCGGGTCTAGCAGGCATACGCACACCAGCCAGGCCCGGGACAGCGGCTCCTCAGCCGGCGGGCGGCACGGGGCGGGCCCGGGGCGGGCGGGGGCGTGCTCTCCCGCAAGCCCGCCCCGCGCCGCCCGGCCCCCAGCGAAGCCCGGGCCCGCCCCAGTGCCAGAGCTTATCCCGGAATAACCTGTTGGAAAAGGCTTCCCGGATCCCCCAGTCCCCGATGGGGTCTCCCGACCCCCCAGCCTATGCTGGTCTCCTCCAGGACCCCGGTCCCAAACCAAAGGTCAGGACCCTGCCTCCCTAGTTCCTCCGGATAGTCTCCCGCGCTAACCGCCCGCCCGCGGGCGGGCCCCTGACACGCAGTTGCTCAGGTAACCCAGGCCTGCGGCGGCGGCGGCGGCGGTAGCTGCCCTGCCCTGATCTCCAGGCCGCGGTGCTGCTCCACTCGCCTCAGCTCTAGAGCCAGGCTGACAGAAGTCCCGACACAACGACAGCACCCATGGAGCCGCCTGAGGCGACAAAAAGATCGTCTGGGTTTGGSGGGGGGGGGGGGGGGGGGGGGGGGGGGGGGCGCTACCAGCCCCCCACTCTCAACCGGCCTTTCAGACTCCGCCCTCCCGCCGCTCCTCACAACCAATCAGCTTCCACCTCTCTGCGACTTGGGAACCCGCGCGCTCCGTCCCCCGTGCGCAGCGGCCCCTGGTGAGCAAATCTAGGTAGTGAAGGCAGGACAGGCTCCAGGGAGGCCCTGCCCCTTTGCAGAGGGTTAGAGAGTGAAGGGAGGACCCGCCCTGAGGGAGGCCCATTAGGGCCTGTGAGCATTTATTTTCAGAGGAAATTATGACGAAAGCAAAGTGAAATATCCAGACCCTGTATGTAAAATCCCCCTACACATATATTGAGTCTGAGCTGAAAGCGTTCTGAACACACCCTAACTAACCCTCCAAGTTAAGTTGGATGCCCTCGCTTAGCTCTCATAACCCGTTTTCCTACCTGCCTCTCAAGCCCCCCACCCCTTGAGGTTTTTGCGGGTGTGGCCTGTGGCTGGTTCCTCCCTGCATCTCGCTCTCCCAGTTCTCAAAGTCAGTTGAAAGAAGTGGCATCGACTTGAGAACTAGTGCCCCAAAGAGAGCCTCATCTGGGCCTCCTTCAACAAAGCCTGCACTTCCTGTTCTTTTCTCAAGCACACTATCAGCAGATCTTTACTGAAAACTCCTCTGTGCCCTACCCTGTCCTTGGCACCCAAGGCAGAGAAGGGTTTAGACCCAGTCTCTTCTCTGACYGACAGTGCTAAATCACTCCTGTTTTGAGCAAGCCCTTTGAAGACCAGGACACGGATTTGCCCAACAGCTGCCTGGCTTAAGAGTTAGGCTGTTGATATAAAAATACATGTCTAACGTCATCTATTACTACGCTCCCCACTCTCTTAAGCTCCCATCACACTGAGTTGTTTTGTTGTTGTTTCTGTTTGTTTGTTTGTTTCAGTACTGGGGATCAAATGGTCTTGAGCATGCTAGGCAAGCACTGTACCACTGAACTACATACCCCCAGCCCATGTCCTTCTTTAAGTTTCCCAAACAAAGCCACCTCACAGCCTGCGTTTCTGCTGTAGCTTCTGCAGGGGAGGCTTTTCATATAACTAGGTGGCCTCCCATTCTTCCAGACACTGTTCGATGTCTGAAAGCTTAGAAACTCCTACCCTAACCACCCCCTCAAAATCAGTCTGTGGTCAGAGTTGGACCATAGGTATGTGTGCTCTTACCCCCATAGTTAGGAGATTGAATTTTCAGAGGTCATTCTTGTCTGTGACACTTGGATCCAGCCATAGACTTTGCACATATCAGGTGCTCAGTAAAAGTTGGTTGTCATGCATTAGTTCATTTGAGCACTTTTTTTTTCTCAGTACTAGGGATTGAGCCCAAGGGTGCTCTACCAGTAAGCTACATCCCCAGGCCTTTTTAAAATTTTTATTTTGAAACAGGTTCACACTAAATTGCTGAAGCGGCCTTAAACTTATGATTCTCCTGCCTCAGCCTCCCAAGTCTCTCAGATTGTGTCATGACTTGCAGATCACTCAAATATTTATTGATTAACAGCTATGTGCCGGAAAATTGGCCATGCTAGAAGTCAAACCCATTATCTAGATTCAACTAATCCTAGACTCTGAGCAAGGAGTCTTAAACTACAAAAGGAGCAACTAGGTTATATGATTGAGAGAAGTAGGTGAGAGTAATAGGGAGTAGTGAGGATTGTGGACTGGTGAGCAGACAGGAAGGTAGGACCACTGTTGACCGATTGTAAGTAAGAAGATAGAAATCTGAACTTTTATATGACAAATTATTTTTGTAATATTGTACAACAAACTACAAAACCCAGGGCTGGGGATGTAGTTCAGTTTAGTGCTTGTGCTTTTCACGCACAAAGCCCTAGGTTCAATCCCCAGCACCATGAAAATAAATAAAATATAAAACCCTTTATAGGAATTGCTGGGATTATAGGCAAGTGCCATTGCACCCAGCCTAAACTGACTTTCTTTATTAATATCTTTTTTTTAGTTGTAGATGGACACAATACCTTTATTGTTGCTTATTTGTTTTTTTATGTGGTGCTGGGGATCAAACCCAGTCCCTTGTACTGCTAGGCAAGCACTCCACCATTGAGCCATAACCCCAGCCCTAATATCTCATTCTTAATGTGGATCTCTAGATTTTGAATTTTTACTACTTATTTCCACAAAGAATCATTTAGGTTTGATAATTTTATAAGTACTTTTAAGGAAACAGTGCAAGAGTTTAATAGGTAGTGTTTTTAAGTTACTTAATAAAATTTTTATCTATTTTGAATTGTGTGGGACTCGGTAAATCGAATCATTTCTAATATGCATGGAAGTTTGATTCTTATGTAGTTTTTTATTTTGTGCTTGGCAGGTCATTGAAAACAATTGTTGATTGTTGGAATTTCTTACTGGTCATGTGGCAGGTTTTAGATATCCCTCCTTCATTTATATATTTCATCATTTCTTATGGGTAAAATTGCTTTGTAAAAGAGTGCATGGAAGTTTATTTCACTTTCTTGGGTAATAACAAGTTGCCATCAATTTGTAAGTTTGTAAAGTTTTTTTTTTTTAATCCTTTACATGCCACATCAAACACATCTTCAGCCCAGATTAATCACTCAGACTGCCAGTTTGTTGTTTCTGCTTAAGCCACCTACCTGTGCACTCATTTGGTTAAGAGAACATGCAAGAAAAGAACAAAGTAAAACATGCTTAACCCAATTTCCCTCAAATTTGCATCATTTCTCTTAGCCACTGTGTAATTTCTTTGGGGGTATAAGTCATAACCTATTTGGTACAGAAACCCTGTCTTAGAAGCAAGAAACCAGGGTTACTCTGGTTCACACCAAAACCTTAAACTTCTCAGAGCCTGTTGTATTTCCTGTGAGGCTAAAATGTGTCTAGGAACTAAAAATAGTATTACCAAATGATCCAGCAATTCTACTTTGTGTATATACTTTTGGGCAAAAAATATGAAAGCAGGGTCTCAAATATTTGTATAACCATATTCATAGCAGCATTGTTCATGATAGTGAAAAGGTAGAAGTAATCCAAGTGTCCACTGATAGATGAAAGAATACACAAAATATTTTTATATAAATATAGATATAGATATATACATATACACACATATGTGATAGAATATTATGCAGTCATATAAAGGAAGGGAATTCTGGGCTGCATAGGTAGCTGCTAAGAGCCACAGCCAAGTAAWTTGATGCATGGCATTTTTGGTTGAAAGGTGAGGCCAGCTAGCCATTGAAATGATATGATTATGTTAAGATTTACATTCATATGGATATTGGACTCCTGCTGTTCACCTGGGCCTGCTGCAGGACTCCTGAAGAGTTCCCATTGGTTGGGGAAGTGCAGTAGGAGGGAATTCCAGGGGAGGAACTTGCTCTGGGGTTCCAGGAGAACTGGGGGAGGGGGGGGAGAATGCCCTGTGTGATCTGCATTGGTGGCAGTTTCAAAAAATAAAGTTTGTTCCTGCTTGAGTGGCTCGTGATTTTGTGCCCAGCCAGACTGCAGCAGGTAGCTCAGTGGTAAAGCAGTTGCCTAGCACACACAAGCCCCTGGGTTTGATCCCTAGCACCTCCACACACATATACACAAAAAAGTGTTGCCAGGCATGGTGGCACAGGCCTGTTATCTCAGCTACTCAGGAGGCTAAAGCAGTAGGATCACAAATTTCAAGGCTGGCCTAAGCAACTTAGTGAGACCCTGTCTTGAAATTTTTAAAGGGCTGGGTCTGCAGCTAGGTGGTAGAATTCTTGCCTAACATGTTCAAGGCCCTGGATTTAATCCCAGGACCACAAAAAAAGTGGTGGGGAAAGGAAATTCTTTATTTTATTTTTATTTTTTAAAATAAATCTTTATTTTATTTATTTATTTTTATGTGGTGTTAAGAATCTAATTCAGTGCCTTGTGCATGCAAAGCAAGCACTCTACCAACTGGGCTATATCCCCAGCCCAGGGGAAGGAAATTCTAACACACACTACTTCATGGATAAACCTTGAGAGCAATATACTAAGTAAAATAAGCCAGTCACCAAAAATATAAAATACTGTGATTCCATTTAGATGATGTACCTGGAGAGGTCACTTTCACAGAGACAGAACAAAGAATGGTGTTTGTCAAAGGCTGGGAAAGGGGAGGGGAGGGATAATGGGTTTGGTTTCGGTTTTACAAGATAAAAAGAGTTCTGGCAATTGGTTGTGCAACAGTGTGAATGTACTTAACATGACTGAATTATATACTTAAAAATTACTAAGGAAGCCAAGCATGGTAACACATGTCTGTAATCCCAGATACTCAAAGGCTGAGGCAAGAGGATCACAAGTTTAAGGCCAGCCTTGAAAACTTGGCAAGACTCTGTCTCAAAA